ACAACGAGATGGTGGAGAAAACTTGTAGCTCAGGTGGATGATTGTGGTGGTGTTTCGTTCTCTGAGCTGGATGTTTTGGTTGTGGAGCTTTCATTGTTCTTCTGAACAACATCATCAGCACAAACTTCAGATAGAAGTGAAGTATTCGAATTTCTCCACGTTTGACCTGTAGCTTGTTCTGCTAACCTCGATCTTGATTGGTTGTTGTTGACCTTTGACGTGTCGTTGTTTGCAACTATGTTTTGATTGCCTCCCTCTTTTGATCTGTTTCTTGATCTAGTGTCACCTATGATTTTCCTGATTGGTTGATAAATTGGGTCAATGTTGATGTGTTTGTTGATTGCTGATTGACCTGAGTGCCAAGCTTCTAAAAATTCCCTAGTGTTCTTTGTCCTCCCCCTACCCAGTATTTCCACGTTGTTCCAATTAAATGTGTGTCCATAATTGTCGGTGTGTATTGATATAAGCGAAGTGTTATCGTGGCGTTTGACTGCTAATTGATGTTCGGAACTGAAGAGGTCGTCCACTTTGTCCTATAAAGTGTTATTCACAGTTTGAGCAATTTATTTTGTAGATGATATTTGGTTTTTCTTCCTTAGTCATTTTGTCGTTCGGTCTACATAGGATTGACTGAAGTGATTCTGTTGGAATCACTTGACCCAATTTATCAACCAATCAGGAAAATCATAGGTGACACTAGATCAAGAAACAGATCAAAAGAGGGAGGCAATCAAAACATAGTTGCAAACAACGACACGTCAAAGGTCAACAACAACCAATCAAGATCGAGGTTAGCAGAACAAGCTACAGGTCAAACGTGGAGAAATTCGAATACTTCACTTCTATCTGAAGTTCGTGCTGATGATGTTGTTCAGAAGAACAATGAAAGCTCCACAACCAAAACATCCAGCTCAGAGAACGAAACACCACCACTATCAACAACATCATCTGCACAAACTTCAGGTAGAGAAGTGAAGTATTCTAATTTCTCTACGTATGACTTGTAGCTTGTCCTGTTGAACTCAACTTTCATTAATTGTTACTGCTATTGTAGCAGCAATCCAAGGGCCCACATGATCAACTACGTACAAACTTTGTTCAAGAGAGCGACTACAAACACTGAAGCACAGACGAAGTACAAAAAATGAAGAAAAAAATCAGATGACAATCTTGCAAACGAACGTCTTTCGACTCAACATCCTCAAAAAATGTCGACTGAAACAATCAACAGACGCGAAATCATGTACAGAAACCAAAAACCTTCTTTTGATGGTCAACTGGATTATGAAAACACAAACATTACAGGTGAAACACAGGATCTAGTGGATACCTTCGACGCAGATTAACTAGCTCTTCTATACCATGCACAACAACAAATGAAGAAGACGGCCAGAGTAGCAGTAGCCTCTGCAGCATGATCCTTAGATACAACACAATTTGAACCAACCAAATTTCTCTTGAGGGAGAAGCTTTTAAAAAGGTAGAAACCTTTTCATATCATCTGGTCATCATCAATGATGAGCAGGGTAGATCTGATGCAAATGTCAATACAGGTTGGTTAAGCAAAAGAACAGTATTTCTACCATTGAAGAACATCTGAAACTCAGAACAACTATCAACCAACACTAAAGTTACAATTTTCAATACAAACTTGAAGACATTTCTGTTTTAATGGAGTGAAAACTTGGCGAAATATGAAAGTCATCATATAAAGCATACACTTACTTTTTAACAGTTGTTTACGCAAGATACTGACGATTCATTGGCCAAACACCGTTATCAAAAACCTAGTGTGTGAAAGTACAAAGTAGATTCCAGCTGAGGAGGAAATTAGAAAAAAATTGCTGGAGGTGGATAAGACAGAAAGCATCTAACTGCGGCGCCATAAGACGGGCTCTTACCTGAGAAACCACAGGACTAAAAGAAAACACGAACAACAAACAACATATTACACCAAAAATTGAAGACAGATAGAACCTGAAAAGGAGGTCCAAGACTGAGTAGGTTGGAGCGGCCTACACTTTATTAGGTGTAATAGGCTTACGTCAATAAGTAAGTCATATATTTATTAGTGTTTTACGATTTTATTGTTAAATAATGTTGGTCAAAAACAATCAATAATAAGGTAACTGTCTGATGATGATTATTAATTATTATTATGATTATTTTCATGTTTATCAGCCTAATCATTTAATCTCTTTCCTGGCATAAATCAATACAACTACAATCAATATGAAATGGACATACACATACTGGACTATCTATCATGTGAATATCTATCATCGTTTATGTATGGTTGTTAAACCATGCGTAATCCATAGTCTAACATCATTCAACCAATCAGCATTAACTTAAATCTCTATTCAAAGGTCAATAATATATAAAAAATGTGGAGAAAAAAAAACCAGTTAAATAATCATGATTAAAACAATATGACTACTACATTGGCACAAGTGAAATCAATGCTTGAACCGAAGAAGAAGAATATACCACCAAATTTCAATGTAACCATTCATGGAATCAATGATAATGATAATTTGCAAACATTATTATCCTACTTATTTCCAGAACATGAAACAAAGGATATTGTTATCAAGGTAAGAAAAACAAAGAAATTACAATAGTGATCATGATATGTATATTGATATGTATATTGATCAATGTTCAATAGGTTTTAAACAAAGGACATTCCAACAAATTAATTAAAATTGAACATAGTCAACATTCACTTGTATTGCCTAAACTATCATCTTTATTGATACGGATTTATGGTGATTTAACTACATCGTTAATAGATAGAACAAATGAAATGAAATATATGCAAATAATTGGAAATTTCACTGGTTTTCAACAATTATATGCAATATTTAATAATGGTTTTGTATATTCTTTCATTGATGGTTGTGATATTGCATTGGAAAAATTATGGGATATAAAATATGGCAGGTAAATATATATATATATCTTGAAAAGTATTGATTTTTCATTTCATTTTCATGAATTAATCATTGTTGTTAGATTATCATTAGAATTATAGAAGTAGTGGATTGCCATTTGCTTCTATGTAGTATTGGATTCTTCAGTAGTGCACATCCTATGAACCCTGGCCCCTAGCGGGGATCCAACCTAGGACCTTCGGCCTTGTGCGCGATGTGAATGTCTAATAACTTTAATCGATCTAAGTTTTCGCACAATCTCGCCCATTGTCGTCGGTAGTTACTGCCTACACCTGACATGGTTGGACTTCACTGATCATACATAACTTCTCACTAGAACTCTAAGAATTTCCTCACGAACCTAATCAATAGTGGGCATACGATAACTGTCGGTATTTTTGAAAGTGATTCGATGATTGGTTGTGAGATTTAACTGTTAAATGATGTAATAGTGATGCGTAATCGCTCGCTTCACATTAAAATATTTTTAGATCATGACTTGAAACATGTACAAATATTACGTCATCTTACTGCTTTTTAATACATTCTAATGTTAGATAGTTGAAGTGAGAAAACCTGAACTTGTCAGTAGGACGCGCCTATTTGTTATGTAATTCGGAGCTGAGTTACACTGTGTTCCAATCAAATTTTATCGATCACGTTCCAGCCGTTTTTTACCTATTATTATGATAAGGGGTATTATGATAGAAACTTCGAGGGTTAAACTCTCCATGATAAGGATTAACACAACAGATTATTAAAATCGATCCGAGACAGATTTATCGATTATTAGTAATATGGCATAACTAATCAGAAAAATGAAAGTTTGTACTAAAAAATATCGATTTTTGTATAATAAACTAGGTTAATTGCAGAGAAAATGGCTCAGTTACACTGTTTACCAACTGATAAATTCATGGAAGCACAACAGGATACTTTATCAGAAAGAAATAAACCTGAATCTCAGCTATTTCCAACAATTTTAAAATGGATAGATAGACTTGCAGATGAATTTATTGATTCGTCAAGAAAAATTAAAAAGTAAGTTTTTAAAACTATTCATTTTATATAAAGTAGACAGAATTTGTCTTGCAGTGGAATCTACAACGAGTATTTCGTTTTATTCGGGACTTACCTGCAGCTGGATATAGCTGCACCTCAGAGTTGATGTTTATTCTCGGACTCAAACCCAGTGCCATTACCTTCAAACACTAAAGGGGTAACGGAGTAAACACCAACTTTTAGATACAGGTACATACAGCTGCAAACAAGTCTAGAATAGGACAAAACACGCGTCGTAGTCTCCACTGCTAGTCACGTCCTATATTCGATGTAAACTTGTGTTATAGCGCCTACATCGAGTCAGCCCGTTCAGAATGACCATATGCTAACGAAGATTGATGAAATATCAGTTAGAATATCAATAACAGGATAGTTCAGAAACCACTTTGAATTGAATTATATCTATATCGTGTTCATCATTACCGTCGTTTTCGTTATCATATGTATATCACAAGTAGAGTTCAACGATGTCACGTTTAAAGCCTAAAACCTACCAATAACACTGGGAGATGATTGCCAAATATTAACAAATGACTAAATTTAAAACACTGACTGAATGGACTGAATGTTAAGAGCCGCTTGTGAAATCCAAATGTTACTCACTAGAGAAGACGACACTACTGTTTACTGTTCTTACTGGTTCCAATAGTTATCTAGGATAGGTTTCATGGTGAAAACTATAAAATCAAGAATCTTTACGGATCTGTTATGCTGTAATCATATTAACAGTATTCTTTTCCCACCCATGCTACAAGTGACACCGGTTGGCAAAACTTGATCCATAATTCTATTTCCGTACCCAGATTTTATCAGACAGCGAATCATCAGGGCTGACGAGATGCCTAAGATAATTGAAGCGGTCGACGTACTCAGTTAATTAACTTCCTATCACTAGTTGAGCGGCCGACGTAAGCTAATCCTAAAGCAGTAATTTGCATTTTTCAAGGGAGAGAATCACATCGCAGAAACAGACATGGACAACTATTAATAAACAGGCATGTCTTACACCATGATTTAATTGGAATAAGTCTGTGAGCCGCTCTCAATGTACCAATTTTCTATGTAATCATCCATAAAAATTCCGAATGATGTTGAGTATCTTCTTGGATACACCGTGATGTCAAAGAAGCCTCCTTTATGCCATCCTATCCACGGTGTCAAACGCTTTCTCGTAGTGAACAATTATTAAACACAACGGAGTGTACAATACAATTTTTTTTTAGATATCATCAAACAAAAGATGTTTCTATTATTTAAATAGACAATACGTTTATCCTATGATATTCATCTGGGAAAAATTCTATCCTCAATTCTTTGTCAACATAGTAGATTAACAAAACTAACTTTTGAAATCATTGTAATGGATGCTTCGTACGAAATGACTTGTTAGTGGCATGTGATAGGGCGTCACCTACAAATTGCGACTGGAGATAAGAATATAAAGAGATCAAATTATATAACATGATTAGAGTATTGTTGTGATGTTTCGTGCTCTTAGCTGGATGTTGTGGAGCTTTCATTGATGTTCTTCTGAACAACAACATCATCAGCACAAATTTCAGATAGAAGTGAAGTATCCGAACTTTTACACGTTTTACCCGGAGCTTTTGCTGTAAACTTCGATCTTGATTGGTTGCTGTTAACCTTAAATCTGTCGTTGTTTGCACCTGTGGTTTGATTGTATCCCCCTTTTTGATCTGTTTCTTGATCCCATGTCGCCTATGATTTTTCTGATCGACCCACATTTTTGGCTTGATAACTGGTAAAATCGACGCTTCTAGTCTCTGCATTACCGCTTCCGCG